TATTACTATATTACTATATTATAATATATATATATATATATATATATATATATATATGTATATATATATATATGTATATATATATATGTGTATATACATAATTTGCTTTATCTAGGTATCATCCAGAATAATTTTATTCGCTAAGCAGTTACAACTTCTCTATTTCGATGTGCATCTCAAGAGTATGACCACCCAGTCAACCCAAGAGCAGATGTCTGTTCGACTATGTCGCTCCTCTCGCGTTTACTTATCCCGGACATCCTCATGAACTAGGTTTTTCACGTGACATCCTCATAAACTTTGGGTTTTTTAATCAATTGCTTTGAACGCAGGTAGGCCCGTGATTCCTCGGCCGAGGATCAGTGCATGGATATCGTGTGTTCCTGGATAAGATAAAAATAGAATCATACAAACAGTTTAAGATTCAAAGATTTGCGATAAAAACAGAGAATTATACAAACAATGATATGTTTTAGACGGTAATAAACTAGTTAAATATGCGATCAATTGAATGAGACGGATATTCGAAACTGGGATTACACCTAGACACCCACCTGAGTTGAATAGAATAATGCGTGTATGGGTATCGTGCACCCAGTTTGTGATATCAGCTATCACGATATATATATATGTGTGTGTATGGATATGAATATATGAATATATATGATATATATATATATATATATATATATGTATGTCTCGATTTCCGATACACACGTATTTCATACACATACATAGCCCTGCAAAAAGTTAGTGTTCGTACGTGTTGACTGCCTCCAGGTTCATCAAATATCCAATGATATGGCAATGATATGGTATTCGTCGCTAATATCACTGCCGTAGGGATATCAGCACTTTCGCGTACGGCAGATAATAAAGTACAGGGGTGTACCCACACCATTGTAATACATACACTAATTTCAAACCTACACACATTATTTATCATACTCACCTTCGTACGTGTTGACTGCCTCTAGGTTCATCACATGTCTGATGATATGGTATTCGTCACTGATACCGTTGCCGCCCAACATATCCCGAGCGGTACGTGCTATGTTCAAGGCTTTCCCACACGAGTTACGCTACAGGTGAAGTCAGGCAATAGAAGAAAAACACATGACTATTAGCAGGCTAAGGTCAGTCAATGAGGTTGGGCACAAGACAAACATATCCAGTGTTTGAAATTGGGCAAAAGAAAAACAGGACTATTAGTGAGATATGGACAATCAATAAGTCGGACAAAGGAGAAACATGTTCACTGTTTGAAAATAGCCGACTAAAGAACAGGACTATTAGAAAAATATAGGGCGAATCACAGAGGCCGATATATGGATATATTGTTTTGTAGCAGGACTGCACACAGTACATCAAAAACGGCCGTCAACTTGTGCATCGCATTCATGAAACAATGGTATATATATATATATATATATATATGTATATACCACTCTCGCGCAGTTCTTGATCTAAGTACCTTCACCATGCTGATCATGTCTGTGGCACACTTGCCCTCGTCCTTTAGTCGTCCCACTTGCAGGCACGCCTGTAGCCCCACGGAAATCTGTCATTCCCAAAATAGGATCGGGAAAATATACTTATATTAATTGTGCGAATGGGATCGAATCTATCGTGACCACCCACTAAATTGCGACACACCGAATTTGAGACCACATGCTAATTTGCGACACACCTCCGTCAGCATATCCGCCATCTTCAGCTGCACTATCTGGTTGCGTGCTAGCGGCACACCGAACTGCTTACGGTCCATGGTGTACTGTCTCGCCTGAGCCAAACAGAACTCCGCCGCACCCAACGCACCCCACGAGATGCCGTATCGCGCATTAGACAGACAGTGGAACGGGCCCTTGAGGCTATGACAGGGAGAGACACGGGTAGAGCGTGTGTTAAAAGCGAGCTATGAATAACAAACGGCATGAATGAAGGCGTAAACCGGCCCAGGGGGATTGGCAGTCGCATTGGTGGGGTTGAGTGTGGATAATAGTGTATATACGTATACGTATACGTAGACGTAACGGAGGCCTGGGAGGGGGCGGTTGGAGGGTACGCTTTGTGTACCGCCGTCGCTGTTACCATAAAGCACTCGTCCACTCCCCATAGCACCCACGAGATACCGACTCACGCATTGGGTAGACAGCGAAACGTTCTCTGTGGACTATAGAAAGCGAATGTGCATATGAGTATATACACGCGAGGGGTAACTCAGTTACTTCCGGTGGAGATAAATGGTTATCTCGGATGTAATCAACAACTACTTGATCCTCTGTGGTAACGGACGATGTGTATATGCGTGTATATACACGCGGGGGGTATAGGTACACAGAACTCAGTTAGTTCCTGTAGAGATAAATGGTTATCTCGAATGTAATCAACAACTGCTTGATCCTCTGTGGTAACGGATGATGTGTATATGTGGGTATATACACGCGGGGGTATAGGTACACAGAACTCAGTTACTTCCGGTAGAGATAAATGGGTATCTCGAATGTAATCAACAACTACATGATCGGCAGAGCAGTCAAGCGGATTGACGGTCAATTGGTCTCACGGTTGATATCCTGAGCAAGGCTACCAGAGGAACATGCATGCTCATAAGATCAACAAACAACTCATAATAACGAACCACACAAGGGATGGTAAGTGCAACTAGATATACACCGCTTGACATCCAGACGCATACTATCAGGAACATGCCTATACGTCAAAACACCGGAGCCATACGAATCTGTCTCGAACGTAAGCACACCTGCCATAGCACATACGCCAAGAAGCAAGTGTACACCCAAATTAATCTGCCCATTAACATCCACACAAATACTATCAGAAACATACATATCCGCCAAACACTCACAGAGCCATACGAATACCACACACGCCAAGAAGCAAGTGTACACCCAAATAATCGCCCATTAACATCTAGACAAATACTATCAGGTACATACATATCTGCCAAACACTCACAGAGCCATACGAATACCACACACGCCAAAAAGCAAGTGTACACCCAAATAATCGCCCATTAACATCTAGACAAATACTATCAGGTACATACATATCCGCCAAAAACTCACAGAGCAACACGAATACCACACACGCCAAGAAGCAAGTGTACACCCAAATAATCTCCCATTAACATCCGGACAAATAACACTCACAGAGCCATACGAATACCACACACGCCAAGAAGCAAGTGTACACCCAAATACTCACCCCTTGACCTCCGGGAACAAGTGCGCCTCAGGCACGAAGACATCCTCCATAACAATGGAACCAGTCACGGAAGCACGCAGAGAGAACTTGCCCTCAATCTTAGGAGCGGACAATCCCTTCATCCCCTGCAAATGTGTACACAAGAGATGTCGGGTGAGCAATAGGGGGTGGTTGTTAGATACTTGGAGCGTGTATGTCTCACTGGCAGAGGCGCCAAGTTTGCATCAAGAAGTGATGTGGGCACTGGTCAGACACAAAAGATTGTCAATCATGTATGCGTACATATATATACGTGTGTGTATGTATATGTATATGTATGTGTGTGTATGTGTGTATGTATATGTATATGTAAATATACATGAATACATCCATAAATACATACGAATACATAAAAATACACACACAAACACACACACACACATATATATATATATACCTTCTCCAGCACGAATCCTCGGATCTCGCCGTCGAGTTTCGCCCACACCACAAAAACATCGGCTATGGGTGAGTTGGTGATCCAGGTCTTGGCTCCGTTCAATTGGTAACCGCCATCCACCTTCTTGGCCTTGGTCTCCATGCCACTGGGGTCTGACCCGTGGTTAGGCTCAGTCAGGCCGAAACAGCCCACAATCTCACCGGACGCTGTGTGGGTATTGTGGTTGAAATGGTGTATTGTTAGTATAAGGGGGCAAAATAAATTGTAGATCCACGGCATAACGGTACATACCGGGATTCGTTTTAACCATGTGCTGTTGTTATGTATACGGATGTATTGACCGAGTGGTGGTTGGGTTCTGTAAGCCATGAACAGTCTACAATCACATCGTACGCTGAGTACTGGGCTATTTAAGTGGCGCGTTTGGGACATATGTTATCATTGTAACTGCCGCGGAAAGAGCGATCGTGGATATGTGTGAACACGTATGTATATACTTACACAGAAAGGTAACTGTATACATGTGTGTATGTGAAAAGATTTTGTGGCAGATACAGATTTCTACCTGCTTTGTTGCACGCGAATATATTCCTGTACGCATCGCATGTGTGCTTGTACATATTCAGCAAGCAATACGTATTGGCCTGTTTTATAGCCGCCCGCACAGGACATAATCCAAACACAGCACCCAGATTGAATACTCTACTTGTCCCCAAAGAACCGGACTCATTTTGCCCTCTTTGGTAGAGAGTTAAACCCTACAAATAGTGTATAGAAGTCACACCCACAAGCACCACCGAATCTATATACTGTTCTGTCCTAAAGCTCTCAAGGAACCCGCCAAAACCTATAAATACCCAATTTCGGCAGGAACTTGTCTTTGACTTCCGGGGTACCGAACTTGTAGATGGGGAACATGACCAGCGACGACTGTACAGACATGGCCGAACGATAGCCGCTATCCACACGCTCCACCTCACGAGCAATGAGACCATACGCCACGGACGAAGCACCGGCACAGCTAAGGTGTATACAGGATGGTGTATGTATGCTTAGAACTAGTTGGGTTGAATATGGTATCAGATAGTACGGATGGGTAGAAACATGTGTAAAAGTATAGAGAAATGGGGGGGGTTCTGGGGGGCGTTTGCTGGACTATCCTATAGAAACATGCAACGTAGACCAACTCGCAAAGAGCACGGATAGGCAGACAACGGTGTACAACTCACACCACACAGAACGTACCCGTAACCTTCCAATGTAGCACCCAGCAACCCGATCTCTCCCATTTCGTTGAAGATATCGCGATCAAACGCTGTATTTGGGAATGGAAATGTCATGTGTCAGTACAAACCCTGTGGCACATCTCATCGTCGGATCATGCGATAAGCCGGGATACACTGACGCGGCACTCCTGTACTATGTAGAAGTAGGAACAGGACATATATGCAAGGCAATGCGCGCTTATATCCGACGACAACACCTATGCGACAGGATCATTGCATGTGAAG